CAGGAATTTGAGTGGCTAGAACCGGCAATTTGTGCAGAAACCTAATTCTAAGCTGCGAGGCTCCTGATGACAGATCGGCAATTTCTGCAAAAACCACTCGAATCGAGGTGATTTGGTTCCGAAGCGATTTGAAGGACGTAGGTTTCTGTTTACAGAGGCCACTGTCTGTTAGGGTAGCGTAGGTTTATGAAGCGAACTTCCACCTGCTTGCGCTTACGCCTTGCTCCGCGTCGCCTGCGCTGTCAGCCATTCCTCTGGGGCTCGGGTATAAGTGCCGTTTTTTTTTGAGGTGGCACTTGGAAGGCCCTTGCGGTTTTGAACCCAGTTAGGTTTGAACAGCACGCCGATTTGCAAACTCTCACTGCGTGTTTTGCTTGGGTCGTTTTGACTTCTGTGTGAGAGTTGCACGTTCACGCATGTGCTTGGGAATCTTTGAAAGATCGTTTGCCTCCTTCCGAGCTGGCTCAGGGAGGGTAGCGGTGGGGGCCACGCGATCTTTTTGGTTTCGCTTGGGCGGAAATCGCTCGCTTCTTCGATTCACGGACTTCTGAATTATGCTAGCGGTTTCGTGCTGGGGCTGGCCTTGAAAATGTACACCAACGTTTTTGCAGGACTGGCGGCGGGAAAGTTAGCGCTGGAAGAGCACGTGAACCGGCGGCTGGACGAGTTGATGGAACTTCTCCCAAGGCAGTGTCCACGGTGCATACAGATCTCCACAGATGAGCGGCCCTGCGTGATTTACACAGATGGGGCCTTTGAGGCTAGCTGCGCCACATGGGGCTACGTTTTCCTGGATCCTGCAAGCAACCACCGCGTGTGCAAGCATGGGTGGGTCCCAAACCACTTGAGAGACTTTTGGCTCAGGACGGTGGGAGAACAGATCATCGCGCATGCAGTGGTTTGCGCACTCTGGGATTTGCAGGAAAGGATGATGGACAGGCGTGTGCTGCTATTTATAGACAATGAGTCGTGTCGCTTTGCGCTCATCAAGCGAGCTTCGAGATCCGGTGCTGTTTTAGACATGCTGAAGGTCATAGGGGAGCTGGAGGCGAGCGCAAAAGCGTTCGTGTGGTTTGAGCGAGTTGCGAGTTTCACGAATCCGGCAGATTGGCCCTCGAGGCTTGATTCCGCTTCGTTGCCAGGAGAGTTGGGGGTGAAAGATGGAGGAAGGCTTGACTTGCCGGAAGAAGTCTGGCGGAGGCTCACAAGGGAGCCCAGACTTGGCACTCCGCTCGTGGAAGCGGGGGTGGTGGCCGAGCGAAAGAAGAGGAGGCGCCACTAAGCTGTGAAACAGCCGATTCAGTGGCACCATGAATCTTCCCCCGACTCTGGTAAGAGCAACGGAGCAGAAAAGATCGGAGCATCGCTTTTCGTTTCCTGTGCGTTTGCATGTGCCAATTTTATTTCTGAGCCGATGGATTCATCTCTCCGAGATCCGCAAAACCTCAACTGGGGTCGGCCCCCCTTTTTGGTTCCTTGTGTGGGGGGGCGTTTCTGGGTTTGGCTCAACCCCCGGAGGTTTTGGCTGCATGCTGGGGGAAGGGCCCTGGCAGACGTAGGTTTCTGTTTACAGAGGCCACTGTCTGTTAGGGTAGCGTAGGTTTATGAAGCGAACTTCCACCTGCTTGCGCTTACGCCTTGCTCCGCGTCGCCTGCGCTGTCAGCCATTCCTTTGGGGCTCGGGTATAAGTGCCGTTTTTTTTTGAGGTGGCACTTGGAAGGCCCTTGCGGTTTTGAACCCAGTTAGGTTTGAACAGCACGCCGATTTGCAAACTCTCACTGCGTGTTTTGCTTGGGTCGTTTTGACTTCTGTGTGAGAGTTGCACGTTCACGCATGTGCTTGGGAATCTTTGAAAGATCGTTTGCCTCCTTCCGAGCTGGCTCAGGGAGGGTAGCGGTGGGGGCCACGCGATCTTTTTGGTTTCGCTCATGGGAGTGTGCCCTTCACGGCGGGCAGTGCGTACCGTGGGCCGGTGGCGCAGTATTGTGTATTCTTTGCTGCATTTGAGGAAGCTGCAGAGGTTTTTCCACTTGACTGGTACGACATTGCAGGCATATAGTCGACAGCTGCTCAATCGGCTGTCCCGCCATTTGCGGTGATGATGTCATCGTCAGATAAGGTGCACTCCGTGGCCGCTGAGCCAGTTGCAGGTGACGGGGGTACAAATCGGGCAACTGATGCTTTCCCCCAGGGTACAAACATTTCCAGACGCATTTGGGATCTTTTACTTGTGGACAACAGAGACAGCGGGCTGAAGCTACCATGGGAAATCGGCCCATTGGACTCACTTGGGCCTTCCACTCACCTTCGCTTGCCGTGGGTAGGGAGGTACGAGGCAATGGGCCTGGCAGCTTTGGAGCCTGAAAGTCCCTATGGGGCAGTCCCGGGAAGAGCACATTCATTTGCAAAGAAGCGCTTGTTTTCTGCCAGGTTCGTCAAGGATGATGACGCTTTGCGGGCCAAGGCATTGCGATGCTTCAGGGACCTGGTCATGTTCATGCCCGAGGACTGCGCGGTGGGCAGATCGCTGATGAATGTGGCCGGGCAGCTAGAGCCCGAGGAAACAATCACAGCGACGTTCTGCGACGTGTTTGCCCCAAAGTCCACGGCCACCCTGGTCAAGAGGTCATCGGATTTCTACGCATTGGCAGAGTGGATTGTGAAACAGGGATGCAGGCCACTGAGTTTCTCAGAAAAGGAGCTTTATGCATATCTGCAGGTGTTGCGTCAGGCAGGTGCGGCCCCGACCAAAGCAGACTCGACGTTGCAAGCTGTCAGGTTTGTCATTGGCATACTGGGTGCATCTATGCAAGTTTCTCTGGTCGTGTCGAGTCGCTGCAAGGGAGCTGCCCGTGCAATGTTTGAGACTAAGGCACCTTTGAGGCAGGCAATTCCTTTACGTGCAGAGCAGGTATGGAAGCTGGAGAAGCTCATGGCGTGGTCAACTGACAAGCATTTGCTGTGCGTTTGTGGATTCCTCTTGTTTTGCATTTATTCCAGTTCACGCATCGGGGATGCCACGAGGCTGGAAAAGGTCTCGTTCAGCAAAGCGGGACCTGTGCATTTGGTGGAAGCCCAGTCCTTGTTGCACAAAGGCGGTAACACGCAGCAGAGGCGTACGAAGTTCTTGCCCCTCATGGCGTTGGGCTCCTGCTTAGATGTGAGGCCGTGGGCAGTCACTTGGACAGTTGCGCGCAAGGAAGCTGGTCTCGAGGACTTGAAATTTCTGATGCCGGCACTGGCAGGACATAGCAAGTCTTGGCTGCGCAGGCGCATGACTACGGCCGAGGCGACCCAATATCTGCGGGAGCTGCTCGTTGAGGCTGGTGAGGATTTTGATGAAGCAGAGCAGGTGACGGGACACAGTTGCAAAGCGACAATTCCCACATGGGTGGGACGGCATGGTCAGTTTTCATTGGATGAACGTAGACTGCTGACTCACCACATGGACAAGAACAATGAGATGGTCCTCACTTACAGTCGAGACTCACTGACCGCCTTGCATACCAAGGTCTACAAGGTTCTGCAGCTAATCAAGTCTGCCGAGTTCAATCCAGATGCAAAGCCAGCTGAGGCCATCCGGCAGGCGTTGGGGCAAGATTGCGTGGAACCTGAGTTTTGGGAAGACGGCGAGTCAGAGGATGAGGAGGACCTTTTTAGCCGGTCACACGCATCAGAAATCCAGCAAACCCAAAGTCAGAGAAAGGGACTCCGGCCATTCCAACAGTCATGCACATTCACTCAGGGGTGATGCACATTGCGGGATCGGATGGAGCTCTCAAGTGCGGGAGGGGAATGTCTAAGAACCTGGTCCCGGCCTCTGTGAAGCAGAATGAGCTGGCGGACTATAACGTTTGCAAGCAGTGCTTAGCAACTCATTGACCGGTGCGATGAAAAAAGCGCACGCCCAGGTAGGTCAGGCCATGAGACATCGTTAGGGCTGGGTGGCTAGGTGACGGAAAGCGCATGAGTCACGCTCCGAGCCGTTCATGTTTGGGCTTGCATGGGTGTGTGTGCTTACTGTGGCCTGGGTCGAGATGTCAGCAGGACTGGAAATCCAGGCCACGAATCCTGACACGACACAGGAGAGCAGGGCACGAAAACACACTGTTTGCAGATTCAGCCCTGTTGAGAGCTCGGGTTTTCTCAGCGTGTGCCATGGCAGTCACTGACTCAAGGGCCTCTTTCACGGCCCGAGCCACCGAGATTGGAGCCCAGGAAGATTTCATAGGTTTACTGAAAGACGCTGGTATTGAGACATTTGGTCAGCTGGCGTTTTGTTGTGGAGGTGACCTTTCAAGTGCAGACGACACCAAGCTGTTAGATGCTGCAGAAACAGCCGTGGGCCGGGAGCTCACGACCGGGGAGAAAATAGTGGTTCGACGTCTCTGGTTCGAAGCCAGGACGCTGTGCGTGTCTGAGTTGAAGGCCCGCGTTGAGAGGGCTGACGATGAGTTGCCACGCAAAATGCCGTTGGCAGAGAGAATGTCCCGTCTCGAGAACCAGAAGAAGCGACTGACGGGGATCATTTGGACCTCGCAGACAGAGCCCTCGCACGCACTCCTCGACCGGGTCATGCAGATGCAGGAAAATGGTACCCTGGTATACCTGGCACCTACGCAGTGTACTTCGAGACAGGCAGAGATCAATGGCACGAGGTCGAAGCCAGAGCTGATTTTCGATTCTTCAGGCAATTTGAAGATGACCAAGAGGCAGATGGAGCTGGAGTGCAACACAGATGGAGACCTGGCTTTGCAGCAAGCCTTCCAGAGGAGGTCCCTGGCGTTCGACCAGGCAGGGTTGCTGTCATACGAAACGTCTGAGCGGTGGCACACAAAGCTTTTCCAGGCGAAGGGGCGGGAGCCACAGAGCCATGTGGGAGCGGTTGGCTCAGGACTCACGTGGAAAGCTCACAGCCGGGACGACGAACCCACTGGACAGCTTGATGAAGCAGTTTGCGGATGACCCGGAGGTGACGGTTTTTCTGCAACCACTGCCCATGGGGACTGCGAATGGGAATGCCAGGCGGAGCGACTCACCGCCGGGAAGCGCCAAGAGGAAGGAGCCGGAGCGGTCCAAGGGCAAAGGGTCCGGCAAATTTGCAGAGAAGGGCGGAGGCATCCAGCTGCCGGAGAACTGTGTGCGGAAAACTGCAGACGGCAAGCCTTTGTGCTTCAAGTACCAGCACGGCAAGTGCCCGCTGCAGAAGAAGGCGCGCTGCCGGTTCGGATTGCACAAGTGCTACTATAGGGGATGCGAGGCGGATCGCCCCTTTTCTGAATGCAAGCACTGACTATCCACACCTGCGGCCGCTGCTCCCGCGCCCGACAGAAGAGCAGTTTTTGTTGAGTTCTGCGCCGGGTCGGCAATCTTGTCGGCCACAATGAGGGAAGCAGGGTTTTTGGTCTACCCGGTGGATTGCCACCGAAATGCCTTTACGCCCAAGGCAGCAATTTTGGAGATGGATCTTTCAGACGAAATGGATGTCAGGCTCGCAGTCGAGCTCCTTCAGCAGGAAAGACCGGTGGTCGTTCACTTCGGATTGCCCTGCGGAACGTGCTCGCGCGCCAGGGACAAGGCCGTCCCCCTCGCACTGAGGAAGCAAGGGGCGCCAAGCCCCCCGCCTTTGAGGGATCATGATCATTTGCTGGGTCTGCCACACCTCAGCCCTTTAAATCAAATGAGAGTCGATTCCGCAAACAAGCTGTACAACCAGGCCGTGGAACTCTTGTTCGTTTGCTACAGCTTGGGCCTTTGGGTCAGTATTGAGAACCCACGCAGAAGCTGGTTGTGGCAAGTGCTGGCAGTATTGGTGAAGCAGCAGGGCGATTTGGGTTTCAGGCAGTGGTATTTTTGCCTTGTGGATGTGCATTACGACGCTTGCATGCATGGGGGCTCCCGAGCAAAGGCTACGAGGCTGCTTTCCTCACCCGGCCTTTTCGAGTCGCTGGCAGTCGAGTGCGATCGAACTCATGAGCACAGCGAATGGAGCTTGAGCCGGCAGGATGGTGGGTGGGCTTTTGCCACCCACACGGAGGCCGAGTATCCACGCCTGTTTTGCAAGCGTTATGCATCGTGTGTGGCGCGCCATGTTGACCCGGGCGCGTTGCAGTCTTCACACATGCAGTTTCGGGCAAACTCGCTGGCCATGCAGAACAGGCAGCACAAGACAAACAGGCAGTTGATCCCTGAGTTTTCGGCGGTTGAATTCAGGCCAGAGGGCTACAAACCCCTCAAGAATGAGAAGATGCTGCAACCACACCTTGCGGGGGTAGTGTCCGTGGTTGATGAGGTGCTTTTGGATGAGGACTTGCCGTGCCCAGATGCCAGTGCCCCAGAAGCGAAGCAGTCACAGGCAGATCAAGCTCGCGTTGGGGTGTATTTCGATTGCGTGCAGCATGTGCAAAGGGCGTTACAGCTTCAGCACCCCATGGACACGCGCTGCTCAATTCCGGACATTTTGAAGGTAGCAGTATTCAATATGATGACCTGGGGCCACGCAACCCTGGCAAAGCACCTCAGTGACTGTTTGAGTCAGGATATCCGGGCGGCCGTTGATCTCGCAAAGCAGGAGGCTGTTTTGCAAAAGTCGCTTGATGAGGCCGTGTCAGCAGTGGTGGGTGGCAAGAGACTGTTGCTTTTCAAGCGCTTGTTAGAGATTACGCATTTTCCTGACATGCGAGTGGTTGAGATCATGATGAAGGGCGTCGACCTAACCGGCATCGAACCAGAGAGCCCCCTTTTCGCACGAAAGTTTTGCCCGGCTTCAACCACGGAGCCGGTGTTGGAAAAGGCGGCGGTATGGAGGCGGCGCAGACTCATGGGAAGTAGCAAGGAGGATGCGGCGCTGGATTCAAAGAGGCTGCAAGAGATTTCAAGGGAGGAGGTCAGCAGTGGCTTCCTCAAGGGCCCCTTTGATTATGATTCTGTGGCTCCGCAGGTTGGGTCGGAAGACTGGTCGATGAGCAGGCGTTTCTTGCTCAGGCAAGGCGAGGAGGGAAAAGAGCGAGTCATCGACGACCTCAAAGAGTCTTGTGTCAATGCCTGTTATGCCAGCGTGTCAAAACTGGATTTGCATGATGTCGATTTCGTCTCTGCATTGTTCCTCTTCGTGGCAAAGCTCCTGCAGTCGGGTCCCGTGCTGAGAGTTCGTCTGGCATCGGGACAAGAGTTGGTCGGGCACGTGCACGAGAGCGTCAGGGCGGATTCTGCCCTACAGGCACGCTGCTTGGACCTTAGCAAGGCTTACAAGCAGGTTCCGGTGGCTCCGTCCTCGCACAAGAGGGCCGTCCTGGGCGTCAGAGCAAATGAGGGTGCATGGGAATTTATGTATGCCAGTCACTGCCGTTCGGGGCTTCAGCAAGCGTATTTGAGTTCAACAAGATCGCGAGAGCCCTGTGGTGGATCCTGGTAGTGAGGTATAACATAGTGGTGGCAAATTATTTCGATGACTATCCCATGCTGGCGTTCAGGGCGACGGCCACGAGTGTGGACAAGGCGGCCTTGTCGCTGCTTACCTTGCTGGGGTGGTCACACGCCCAAACGGGGAAGAAGGGGGCACCATTCTCCCAGACAGCGGTGGTGTTGGGAGCTTCCTTCAACGTCAGTCTTCTAAACGCCGGAAAGCTGACAGTGGAAAACAAGCCGGAGAGACTGGAGAGGATAGTGAAGCTGGTGAAGGAGTTCAAGCAGAGCAAGGGGCGGAAATCGCTCGCTTCTTCGATTCACGGACTTCTGAATTATGCTAGCGGTTTCGTGCTGGGGCTGGCCTTGAAAATGTACACCAACGTTTTTGCAGGACTGGCGGCGGGAAAGTTAGCGCTGGAAGAGCATGTGAACCGGCGGCTGGACGAGTTGATGGAACTTCTCCCAAGGCAGTGTCCACGGTGCACACAGATCTCCACAGATGAGCGGCCCTGCGTGATTTACACAGATGGGGCCTTTGAGGCTAGCTGCGCCACATGGGGCTACGTTTTCCTGGATCCTGCAAGCAACCACCGCGTGTGCAAGCATGGGTGGGTCCCAAACCACTTGAGAGACTTTTGGCTCAGGACGGTGGGAGAACAGATCATCGCGCATGCAGTGGTTTGCGCACTCTGGGATTTGCAGGAAAGGATGATGGACAGGCGTGTGCTGCTATTTATAGACAATGAGTCGTGTCGCTTTGCGCTCATCAAGCGAGCTTCGAGATCCGGTGCTGTTTTAGACATGCTGAAGGTCATAGGGGAGCTGGAGGCGAGCGCAAAAGCGTTCGTGTGGTTTGAGCGAGTTGCGAGTTTCACGAATCCGGCAGATTGGCCCTCGAGGCTTGATTCCGCTTCGTTGCCAGGAGAGTTGGGGGTGAAAGATGGAGGAAGGCTTGACTTGCCGGAAGAAGTCTGGCGGAGGCTCACAAGGGAGCCCAGACTTGGCACTCCGCTCGTGGAAGCGGGGGTGGTGGCCGAGCGAAAGAAGAGGAGGCGCCACTAAGCTGTGAAACAGCCGATTCAGTGGCACCATGAATCTTCCCCCGACTCTGGTAAGAGCAACGGAGCAGAAAAGATCGGAGCATCGCTTTTCGTTTCCTGTGCGTTTGCATGTGCCAATTTTATTTCTGAGCCGATTGGGGTCGGCCCCCCTTTTTGGTTCCTTGTGTGGGGGGGCTTTTCTGGGTTTGGCTCAACCCCCGGAGGTTTTGGCTGCATGCTGGGGGAAGGGCCCTGGCAGACGTAGGTTTCTGTTTACAGAGGCCACTGTCTGTTAGGGTAGCGTAGGTTTATGAAGCGAACTTCCACCTGCTTGCGCTTACGCCTTGCTCCGCGTCGCCTGCGCTGTCAGCCATTCCTTTGGGGCTCGGGTATAAGTGCCGTTTTTTTTTGAGGTGGCACTTGGAAGGCCCTTGCGGTTTTGAACCCAGTTAGGTTTGAACAGCACGCCGATTTGCAAACTCTCACTGCGTGTTTTGCTTGGGTCGTTTTGACTTCTGTGTGAGAGTTGCACGTTCACGCATGTGCTTGGGAATCTTTGAAAGATCGTTTGCCTCCTTCCGAGCTGGCTCAGGGAGGGTAGCGGTGGGGGCCACGCGATCTTTTTGGTTTCGCTCCCTCCCACCCGCCCCCGAGCGAAAGAAGAGGAGGCGCCACTAAGCTGTGAAACAGCCGATTCAGTGGCACCATGAATCTTCCCCCGACTCTGGTAAGAGCAACGGAGCAGAAAAGATCGGAGCATCGCTTTTCGTTTCCTGTGCGTTTGCATGTGCCAATTTTATTTCTGAGCCGATGGATTCATCTCTCCGAGATCCGCAAAACCTCAACTGGGGTCGGCCCCCCTTTTTGGTTCCTTGTGTGGGGGGGCTTTTCTGGGTTTGGCCCAACCCCCGGAGGTTTTGGCTGCATGCTGGGGGAAGGGCCCTGGCAGACAGCCACCTGATTTTGGTGGCTGTGGCAGCACCTTTGCTCCTTGCTTTGAATCAATCCGCCTGAACCACCGCATGAAGGCATCTCAGCGATCACTTCAATTTGCACTAGTGTACTGTCAACTAAGAAGAAGGCACCTTTGCTCCTGGCTTCGGATGATGCGGCATGAGCCAGACAATCCAGGTGTTGCAGCGTTCACTTCAAATTGCACTAGTGTGGATCAACTTCTAAGGAACCAGGGAGGAATCGAACCCCTAGCCCTTCAGCTCCGGAAGCCGTGTCTTTGCCAATTAGACAACGGCCTCTTGCTCTCTGGGCGTGGCTGGTCCTTGCCCGGTTCACCTTCAAGGGCCTGGACGGCACCATGATGGTCTCCTATGTATCAGGAGCCTCCCGGCTTAGAATTAGAAATTGCCGGTGCTTCTGACCACTCAAATTCCTGAGCCTCCCAGCTTAGAATTCGGTTTCTGCACAAATTGTCGGTTCTAGCCGCTTTAGCCACTCAAATTCTAGCCACTCAAATTCCAGTCCCAGTCCTTAGATGTATCAGGAGCCTCGCGGCTTAGAATGAGGTTTCTGCACAAATTGCCGGCAAGCCATTCTAGCCACTCAAATTCCAATCCTGGTCCTTAGATGTATCAGGAGCCTCCCAGCTTAGAGTCACAAATTGCCGGTTCTAGCCACTCGAATTCTAGCCACTCAAATTCCAGTCCTAGTCCTTAGATGTATCAGGAGCCTCGCGGCTTAGAATGAGGTTTCTGCACAAATTGCCGGCAAGCCATTCTAGCCACTCAAATTCCAATCCTGGTCCTTAGATGTATCAGGAGCCTCCCAGCTTAGAGTTAGGTTTCTGCACAAATTGCCGGTTCTAGCCACTCGAATTCTAGCCACTCAAATTCCAATCCTGGTCCTTAGATGTATCAGGAGCCTCGCGGCTTAGAATTAGGTTTCTGCACAAATTGCCGGTTCTAGCCACTCAGATGTATCAGGAGCCTTCCTGGTCCTTAAATGAGCCTCGCGGCTTAGAATGAGGTTTCTGCAAAAATTGCCGGCTGGCAATTCTAGCCACTCGAATTGCCCTTAAATGCAACCCGTGTCAAGTGCAATCCGAAGTGGGCGCTTTTAGACTTATTCAGTAAAGACCAGGTCGGATGTTTCGAAGCAAGGAAAAATGGTGTTGCTGAAATTGCGAATCTTCGTCTGTAGACTTCGCCGCCACACTCCTCCAGGCGGGCAGGTCAGGCACACAGTGTCACTGAAGAGCAAAGCGGCCATAGCGCAATGGCTAAGGCGTAGACTTCGAAGCCAAGTGGCCCAGGTTCGATTCCAGCCTGGGCCCACGTACATAATCACAAGGCAGCCAGCAGTTGTCCAAGTTCCTTGTCCAAGTTCGGCGGGGGAACTTGGACAAGTGGCTTTGCAAGAGGAAAACACGTGATAAAATTTGTCCAAGTTCCTTGTCCAAGTTCAGGTTCCTCCGGAGGAGAATTCTCGTACCCTAATATTTTCTTCTTCTGGTTGTCTTGTTATTAAAAAGAGTGGTATAAGTCTCCGAGCAGGAGCGCCCCGATTCCAGGCAGGCCCCGATTCCAGGCAGGCCCCGATTCCAGGCAGGCCCCGATTCCAACTTCGTGGCCCAGGGCGGAAACCCGAACTTGGACAAGAACTTGGACAAGGAACTTGGACAAATTTTATCACGTGTTTTCCTCTTGCAGAGCCACTTGTCCAAGTTCGCCCGGGGAACTTGGACAAGGAACTTGGACAACTGCGGGCTGCCGTGTTACAAGCTCTCTCAGTATTACGCCCCGATTCCAGGCAGGCCCCAATTCCGTGTGCCTCGCCCCGGCGGAAACCCGAACTTGGACAAGAACTTGGACAAGGAACTTGGACAAATTTTATCACGTGTTTTCCTCTTGCAGAGCCACTTGTCCAAGTTCGCCCGGGGAACTTGGACAAGGAACTTGGACAACTGCGGGCTGCCGTGTTACAAGCTCTCTCAGTATTACGCCCCGATTCCAGGCAGGCCCCGATTCCGTGTGCCTCGCCTCTCTCTTTAGAGGGCGTTTTCCAAATGGATTCTATTCTACCTGAGAGGCTCCCAGCACTCGTCCGTCCAGCATTTGACCTCGTCCTGCGAAGGATTCGAAGTCTAAAACGCTGCGTGCAGGCGTGTGGCTGCAAAATAATGACCCCTACTTGGATGACCGGCTTGGTTGCTTTCTAGATGGCGTTGGTTGCGCTACTTATATATTGCTCCCTAACATGTTCTAACCCAAGTTATATATTGGGTTAACTCTATCAAGTTCACCTGGCCTACTTGCTATATTGACGCTCTTCTGCTATGTAGATAGTATGTTTGTTATGTTGCTACGGCCTACTTAGAGAAGGTTTTTGTATCTAAGCCATGTTAAGTTGATGAAGTTGCTAAACAAATAACCTACATACTTACATTGACTAAGTAACTTATCAGGTATGATATTCAAGTTAGTAAGTTGATCGCGGCCTACTTACTAAGTACGCCGAGGCCTACTTACTAAGTACGCCGGGGCCTACTTACCCCGCACGCCGGGGCCTACTTACTAAGTACGCCGGGGCCTACTTACTAAGCGCGCCAGGGTCTAGTTGCTATGCGCGTTTTGGTCGGTGCGCAAGCGCATGAGCTCGCCTCGCAATATGGAAATGCTCAGATGAAGGAGGCGGAGATGTGTTTTTGGTAGGTTTTGAAGTTGAAATTGAAAGGTTTGGCGTTCGTGTGTGTTCTTTGTAATTTTGGTGCCCACAGTAGTTGAGCGGTGTTCTTGTTAGCTTACATGCGGAATCATACGCATGCGTGTGCGAAATACAAGATGGGTCCCTTTTTTTCAATGCATGTTAGCGTGGCCGAAGGGTTTCTACAGAATAAAGCGCCCCCAAATTGGACAGCCAGATGTGGAAGCTTTTGCCCGAACAAGTTGGAAAATGGACAGCGGCAACATTTTTTCCGGCTGTCTTGTTGGCGTTGCCTTGTATATACCTGGGCTAGTTCATGCGTCGAAAAAGACCCAGCTGTTGGGTTATTTGTTTTTGCTGCTTTCAACATGTGCTCGCGTGTGTCGTTTCCAAACAAAATACAAAACGCCGATGGCTCAAATGTTATGAGGTTTACCGAACAAGAGTTTAGCGATAGTTCATCAAGAGGGTTTACGTTTTGTTGCAGTTTTGGAAATGAACTTGGAAAAGAGAAGAATTTGAGGTTTCATTCAGCGTCAAACAAACATGCACCCATGGAATCTGTTTTGACCAAACTTTGGAACCGCGCATTTCAGTCAATGATTTTTGTTTATGACTGTGCCTTGACGCAACAAACACTGCTGCTGCTGTCCAAGTTTTGACACTGCTTCGTCCAAACTCTTTGAGCCACTGACAATTGGTCAATTTGGTAGCCGACATGAATCAACGCCATCATGGTTGACATGCAAGTTTCCTTGGCTCTACCAAGTTCACAAGCATGGCGCATGAAACTCACATGTTCAAGAGGTTATAAGATTTGCTCGCTTCACACGCGCAGTCAATGTTCAAAGTGTCACAACACGGCAAGAGGTAAAATCAAACACGATCTCAAACATGTTGGCTTGGTGAACGCTTCGATCAGCGTGATGACGGGTCATGAAGCTCATTTTGAGCAGTCCATGGTTTGCATGGAGTACTGCGTGTTGAAGCGCGCGGACCGGTCCGTGAAGGCCAGAGACTTCACAAAGTTGTGGCCGGGTCAGTATGCTCGAGTCTTGGCGCACGAAGACATCTTCCTGAGCATGTTTGCGCAGGGGGGTGGGTCAGCGTGCAAGTTTCAATATGAGGAGAGGACAGAATGGAAAGGCAGACCAATGCTGGTGTATGCTCATTGCCAGGAGAGATTCCCACGCATTGGTGTTTTGATCCACGAGTCACGTCCAAAGTTGGTGGTGAACCAAGAGATTGTGACTCGAGATGATGGCTTGGCGCGCGCGGTTTCATGGCACTACAGCGCCTCAGGGACACGCATCACCACCAAGTTCTTCTACAGCAACGTTTCTTGCCAACGTTTTGGGAATGTCT